CCCAGGGGGATAGCTTGAGACTCCGTCTCCAAAAAAAAAAAAAAAGTACACCAGTCTGGTGACAGGTACATTAAAATTCCTTGCTTCGGCACTGTATGACTCATCCATGTAACAAAAAACACTTAAAATACATAATTTCTTCCTCTTAGGAAGACAGTTAACACTTTGAAGCAATATAAACATAGCAGAAACATTATAAGAAAAAGGCTTCAATCACTATTAAGGTGGTGTCCTCCAAGTTTTCCACTGTGAAGTTTTCTATTTTTCCTTTGTAATTAATAACTTGTAAAAGATACTTTGAGACAGTGTAAAAACTCAGCTTATCAAACTTTCATTCACTACTTTTGTCATTTACTAAAGACTGTCAAACTATGTAGTTCTCAAACAGAAATGATTTTGCCCCCCCCCCACCCCCCGGGAACATTTGGCAATGTCTGGAGCTATTTTGGGTTATCACAATTTGGAGAGTGTTACTGGCATCTAGTAGGAAGGGGGCCAGAGATGCTGCTAAGCAACCTGCAATGCGGAGCCAGCTTCCACAACAAAGATGAGCTGCCCAGCGTGTCAGTAAGATCAGGGTCTCACCACAGTCTGAGTTTAACATTCCTTCTATACTTATGATTAGCATTTTATCGGAAGAGCTCTTCTTCCTCTGTTATTTATTTATTTATAGAAGGATATGTGAATTTTTATTTTATTCTTGGGTCATACCCCATTATCATTATTTTGATGTTAATAACCCCAATACTACAAGTTTGCCTCCCTATGATGCAACGAGAAGAACACTCTATCCCTTCTGTGATAGTCCCACCAAAAATCCACAGCCTGACTTTAATTAAAGTCAGAAAAATCCATATTAACTGGCCTATACTGATTCATAAATGTTAATGTCAAGATGCCCCCCAAAAAAGAAAAGTAAGGGATTGTTCCAAATTTAAAAAACTAAGGAGACATGGTACCAAATGAAATTTGTACACCTAGATTATCCTGCTTCTAATCTAGGAGACCAGGAAAAAAATACATATAAAAAATAAAGGACATTATTGGAACGAGTGACAAAACCTGGAAACTCTGGATGAGATAATATTGTATAAATGTTAAATTTCCTGATCTTGATAACTGTAAGAGAATGGCTTTGTATTTACGAAATATACACTAAAATTATCAGAGGCAAAGGGCCACTATGACTCAATATTTATTCTCAAATACTATTTTAGGAAAAAAATAGAGACAGAATAATAAAACAAGTAGAGAAAAATATGAACTGGTAGTAAGAATAAATTTACAAGGAATCCAGAAAATATGAGCTGTTACAACTGTCAACATAAATTTACCAAAGTTTAACTGTCACATCAGAATTTCATAAACTTTAAAATCAGTAACAAAGCAAATTACTCACTTGTAAATACCACCACCAAAATGATTGCCAGATCAATGAAGAGAAACTGGAAGTCTCCAAGGTTACTTAAGATCTATAAAAGTAATTTTAAAACATAATTAGTTTTCAGGTACTATTTTTACAGTGCTATCCCCAGGTTTTTTTTTTCTATCCCAATTATAACTTCAAAATGACACATGGACCTGCTTAAAATTTGAATGCATTTGTCTTTGAAATCCATTGAACATAACATATTTTTAAACATTAATCTATTAGCATAAATGGCATTTCCTTAAAATTCATTCCAAAAAAAACTTTAAACAGTTTTCTGGCAAAAAGAAAACAAATAATTTACTCAGAATACTTCAGCTTGCTGATTATCATCTTGAAAATCCCTTAACATACACCCTTTTTCATTCTTTCTGATACTTTTTACTAATGGCAAAAAGGGATAGTTTCACAAAGACTCTTTGGGATGCCACCAATGTCCATTTAGAGAAAAATCTATAATGAGAACACTTCAATTGTAAAGTCCCGAAGAGTACCCATGCACAACACTGTTGAGTTCTTTTTCTAAATGCACAAAGTCTATAAACTATTGCTGAAACAACTTTTTTCATTCTGGCTGTTTCCCATTAATGTACGGCAAAACTAACTACAGTTCTGAAATATGCCACAGCTGGACATTTTAAAGGGTTCTAAGAAAGATGTCCAATCTATACCAAAGGCAGAAAAGAATACAATCATCATTTATTCACAAGGCTTCAGCCACAGTTGTTAGTCTTACAAAAAGTCATTCCAGATTAGTGAAATTTTTGATCTACTACTCAAACTACAGTATACTAAAGGTAAATTTACAGATATAACTTACATAACTTCCATTTCAATGGATGCATTCAAAATCAAACATCTATCTTAATTTAATGATCTTAATATCAAGTGCCATCCCAGTGCACAATGTTAATACTCACGGAATACAAAAGAGTAACACTGAAGTACTGGATAATGCTGTATAGTGCCATAAATTTAAACACACAGAAGGAAGTTATTAAAGCAGCACGGCCTTCCCTGTGAGAAGAAATGTTGCTATGTCAATAAAAGCATTTTAAACTCTTCCTCCAAACCACAACTATTCACAGCTATGACAAATTGCTTGTGCACCAAAAGAAGCCAGTCAAAGCAGAACTGGAAGGAGTAGCAATCGGTTACTAGTAAGTTATAGTTTAAATGTGCTAATATGCCACTAAAACAAATTCACATTACTTTTTCTGATAATTTTCCCCTCTATATTATTTTTCTTTCCTTTTTTTAAGAGACAGAGTCTCACTTTGTCACCCTCGGTAGAGTGCCGTGGCATCACAGCTCACAGAGACCTCCAGCTCTTGGGTTTAGGCGATTCTCTTGCCTCAGCCTCCCGAGCTGGGACTACAGGTGCCCACCACAATACCCAGCTATTTTTTTGTTGTTGCAGTTTGTCCGGGGCTGGGTTTGAACCTGCCACCCTCGGTATATAGGGCCAGCGCCCTAGTCACTGAGCCACAGGCACCGCCCTCCCCTCTATATAATTAAAGCAAGATAACAAAGAGATAAAAATTTTCAGTTTATATTACCTGATAAGGTTTGGCACACAGGAAATACTAGGAGTTTTAGAGGTAAAGGGAGATGCCACTGAAGCCTCAAGCTCTGATAAGGAAATGCCTCCATGTGCTCTCTTTAAAGCCTAATAATTTCAAGAAAACTAGTTAAGTATTGTGAACATAATTAAGCTAGAATAAAAGTTACTAAAGTAAATTGCAAAAACTATACTTACACCACAATCATTTGCACCATCACCACACATCCCAACAAAATAGCTAGGAAACAAAACAATTTTAAGATTTTAATTAGTTCCTTAAATACATAACATTTAGCTTATTAAGATTTCATATTACACAGAGCTAATAGACTTTCATTACAATAACCACAGGCACATTACTCTGCAAACAGCACTAGTCTACAAGTAAAAAATACTTGGATTTGTGTCTTATTTCTGGCATAATATAGGCAAATCATTTGTGTCTCAATTTCCTAATCTTTAGCACAAAGGGCTTGTGTTTATGATATAGTCTTTGGTATACTTACTTTTGAAGTTACCAGAAAAGATTTCTCCCTCTAGAACCTGAAGTATAACTGTTAACTACAACTATATAATCATTTTTATCAAGATAGAGCTCCTGAATGAATGAATGAACTCCACCTCCTAGCTATTACTTGGAGAAAAAATGGTAGATATTAAGCTTTAGAAAAGTAAACAAGCACATAAACTTCTTTTCAAGAGGCACTTAAAAGTTTCACCTACCTCATAGTTGACAACCATATACATGTACAAAATACCACTTTTCTGGGATTGAAAATGAAACTAATTCATCAAAATAAAAACAAAAATCCACCAATACATACTCAACATTTTGCAATGCTTCTACCAATTGTGTCTTCTGATCAGGTGCCATACGAGCAAACACTGTGCCATGCAACATCAACTGGAAAAAAAAATTATTTTTTAAATACTTGCTCACAGCATAGTCAAGTGAACACATATATAAATCCAAATCATTTACCTTAGGAACAAGGTCTTGAAAATGCTCCAGTATCACAGAAAATGATTTTCCATTCATTGCAAAATGATAACGAGTCATCTGAAGATCCTCTAAACTATCATGGACCAATTTAATTGGAATAGCCTGGGTGCATGAGACATTCAGAACATTATTTAGGCATCCAAACCAAACAACACAATTCTATTTTAAATATATTTGTTCCAAACTTTAAGAATATTAAATATCAGCTTCAATTTGAAATGATTCATGAATATTATGGACCACCAGCATCAATTATTGCTAATTACTTTAAAAACTGGATGAATATTTGGGAGATAAATATTGGAGAACCATTTAGACTACGGTTCTCAATTTTGGCTAACTATCAAGATTTACACATTGAGATCCCTGGGTCTATCCAAGTCCTAATGAATCATAATCTGAGTGAGTTAGTTCAGGCCTCCATTTTCATTTAGTTTTTGTTTTATTGTGTTTTAAGGTGCTACTTTTTAGTTTTTTAGACGAAATGCAAACAAGCAAGCTTCAAAGTGAAGAATTCATTACAAATTACCTCTGAGTTAATTGCTGATGAATTACTGCACTGTGTTAGGGAGTCTGCATAATGCCAGTTTATCTTGGCAACTTTCCCATCCTTTGGAGGTAATGCTTCAGCAATAATAACCTTATCCTGAGGTAGAATCATCCCACAGTCTCTAGCCACAGAGACAGCAGTCAACATGTTGTCACCTAATTTTCAAAATATTATAAGGCATTAAAATTAAAATGGAAACATAAATGTATCAAACAAATGCTGAGAATCTCCTATAGTCCCAGTGACTGAACGGAGCAGACGTATAATTTATGGTCTTTACTCTTAGAATCTAGAAGTAGCAAAATCTGCGCATACTTCAAATAATCCAATTATGTATATGCTAAGTAGACAAAACATTCTCACACACAATTTTTAAAGCCAAATACAATTTTCAATCCTTTCTAGTCATGCACTCTTTATACCCACATAATATGACAGAGAGCTACATACAGAGTAGGTGCTCAATAAATATTTGCTGAGATAACTTAGAAGTGAGGGACTGGTAGTCTGTACAAAAACTCTACACAATATCACAGAAAAGGATGGATTACAAAAACAAGATTACATAAAACAAAAAAGTAAGAAAAATAATGAGAACAGGTCTAACAACAAGAAGAAAGAGACATAACTTCTCATTCTTTTTTTTTTTTTTTGCAGTTTTTGGACAGTGCTGGGTTTGAACCTGCCACCTCCAGCATATGGGGCCAGTGCCCTACTCCTTTGAGCCACAGGCACCACCCCAACTTCTCATTCTTGAGAAAGAAAACTGAAGAGAAGCAAAGGCAAGATATTAAAGGAGAGAAGCAGATAAGGGTTTGGGGATCCCACGTCTACCAGAACCATGATATTTCTTTTCCAAACTATCACACACTATTTTCAAGGGCATCTTCCTATGACCCTGAGACACAAAGACATTCTGGCAAAGAAAAAGAAAGAAGAGATGAAAAGTGCTTTGATCAATGAGACTTTAGAACTAAGAATTACTGGGATCCAAATGGACTCAGTTGCCTTGAACTATCTTGTAAGAAGTATGCTATGACATGGATCTCAGAAATTTAAAACATAAAATGGGGGGGCGGGGGCATGGTTCCTACAGCTCAGTGGGCAGAGCGCTGGCCCCATATACCAAGGGTGGTGGGTTTGAGTTTGGCCCCAGCCAAACTCCTACAACAACAACAAAAGTAGCTGGGTGTTATAGCGGGCTCCTGTAGTCCCAGCTACTTGGGAAAGCCCAGGTTGCTGTGAGCTGTGACGCCATAGCACTCTACTGAGGGTGGTAAAGTGAGACTCTGTCTCTAAAAAAAAAAACATAAAAACATACACAGCCTTTTCCCACGTAAGTTTAACTGAACATGTTAAGTGCCATAAAGTAAATATCTTAAATCTGATTATTTCCTACTGAAAAAACCTCCAAAGCTACCGCAATTTTACACAGCTAAGGAATAAGAGTTATCTAATATTATCAACTAGTAATACCAGAAGAATCATTCAGACGTACTAGTCAAAAAATAAACCAAAAAAGGGGCTCTTTTCACTATTATGAATTTAAGTTGGTATAAAATACATTATTTTACATATAAAATCTCAATTCTAGACTCGGCACCTGTGGCTCAAGCGGCTAAGGCACCAGCCACATACACCTGAGCTGGCGGGTTCAAATCTAGCCCGGACCCGCCAGAAACAACTGACGGCTGCAACCAAAAAGTAGCTGGGCATTGTGGCAGGGGCCTGTAGTCCCAGCTACTTTAGAGGCTGAGGCAGGAAAATCACTTGAGCCTAGGAGTTGGAGGTTGCTGTGAGCTGTAATGCCACAGTACTCTGCCCAGGGTGAAAGCTTGAGGCTCTGTCTCAAAAAAAAAAAAAAAAAGTCAATTCTAACAAATATCTATTAATCATTTTCTATGCACTCAGTAGTTCTAAAAATGATAGAGGGCCCAAAATGAATATACCTAACCATCAAGAATCTTATATGCTTGCAGAGAAAGCAAATCTATAATTAACTAACTCCCCAAAAAGGCATAGTAAGTGCTATAAGAAATACATGAATAAAAGAGATAACAGAAAGTATAGTGTACCCTTTACTATTTTACTATACTTTCTATAAATAGAATTTGCTAGCCCTCAAAAAGAATATTGTGAAGTTATCTCATACCTTAGGAAAATATCTGGAGCTAAAATCAGACAACTTAGGACAAAGCCACTATATAATATGCTTTTGTAACTAACTGATCATTCTTCAATAATATATAACCTGAACTCTAAAAGTCATGCTCAATTTTTTTCTGTGTTCCTTTATAAAGTCTAACCTGTGACCATGACAGTGCGAATGTTGGCTTTATGCAAATCTTCAAGTACTGCAGGGGTTTCTTGCTTTAATTTGTTCTGCATTACAATTAATCCCATAAAATCCATGTTGTTTTCAATGGTTTCTCTGCAGAAAAAGAAGTTTTAACATAATGGCTTAGTCAAGAGAATTATTGTTCCCTTTGTGCTGATTTAGCAATTTCAAAATCTATAAATTATAAATTGAAACGTTTTCTATGCTGAATAAACCATATGTGTATTTATGAGTTCAATATTTTACAAAAGTTTAATCTGAAAAAGCAATTCCCAAAAAATATTTTTCAAATTAAATTTTAAACTTTGAAATGTGAAATATGAAAATCATTTGGAAATATATATCTTTTTAAAACACTACTACTAAAGAATATTCACTTTATATTCTATCCAAAATAAGTAAGCATAAATTTATTCTTTATTATCCCCCTACAACAGATCCTAAGTTAAATGTTAAAAGAAAAGAAACAAACTGTACCATGAGCACATTTGATAGGGGTTTAGTGGATTCATTAACAAGTCTTTGATCAATTCTATAAAATAAATCTGGATGCTGGATGTGATACAAGAATCATTAGTAGTCCAATGAGATCTACTCAGGACCCAGAGATGGGTCTTTGAAAATATTAGTAATTAATATAATCATCAAGATACTATTCTTCAAATAAGTATCCACAATATGGGGTGCGCCTGTGGCTCAAGGAGTAGGGTGCCGGCCCCACATACCAGAGGTGGAGGGTTCAAACTCGGCCCCAGCCAAAAAAAAAAAAAAAAAATATCCACAACATACCACACACTGTGCCAGTGGAAGGTCAAAGATGAAAAGGCATAATCTCTACTCAAGACCATTTTGTGCCAACAGAGAAATGCAAATCAGAGATACATACAAAATAATACATGTATCTATGTGATAATAAAGTCTGTTCAGTGATACAGCTGCATTCATAAAATCTCACCATAGAAAATTATATCATAGTCTTTTTTTTTTTTTAATGGGAAAAGGGGGCTTGAGGTGAGGGACCAGAATTTCAGACTTGCAATAACTAAGTGATTTTTTGACATGCTCTCACTGTGATGCCCTTGGTCCAGTGCTGTGGTGTCATAGCTCACAGCAATCTCAAACTCCCTGGCTCAAGTGATTCTCTGGTCTCAGCCTCCCGAGCTGCTGGGACTACAGGCACCTGCCACAGTGCCTGGCTATTTTTAGAGATGGGGTCTCGCTCTTGCTCAGGCTGGTCTCAAATTCCTGAGCTCAAGCAATCTGCCCATCTCAGCCTCCCAAAGTACTGGATTACAGGTGCAAGCCATTGCACCTGGCCCCAAGTGATTTTTCCATACAAAAATTCTACAAAAAGTGCTTAAAGTACATACCTATGAAACCTAAACATCCATGAAGTAAGTAATACATTTACTTGGGTATTAAAAATATCAAAGAATTGTTGAGAAAAATCAATATACATAATATGGATGGTAGTAATAGGAGAAAAAAAGCCTTGAAACGCAAAATTGCATTTCAAAGCACAAAGTTTCACCAATGTGAAACTACTATGTCAAAAGCACAGAGCCACTTTCCTTTATGATAAAGGCATAAGTTTCTGGCTTCAGTTGGTTTCTTAACTCTCCTATGAATAATACAGCTTATGGAAGTTTTGCCCTCTAATTAATGAATATACCAATATTTGAGATATGAAGACTAAAGCTAAGAAAAATGCTAAAAGCCCATTCCCACAGGGTAGAATGCTAGCACAGAGGTGGTTTCAGCTGAAAGATGAAAAAGAAGGGAAAAGAGAGAGATGAAAGTTGACAGCAAGAGACAGTATATTCTGGGCAGAAGGAACAGCCTATCCAAAGATAAAAAGAAGGTCTGAAACACGACAGGGTATGAACTAAAGGCAATTCAGTGAGTCTTTAAGGGGGAAAATGGCAAAAGGAGAAGTTATACAGAAGAGACTAACATACCCTTTGGAGGAATTAAGAGATATCATATATTCATATCAACCAGACAGAGGTCTTTTTAGTTCTAAAGATTTGGAGTATGACGACCACCACCTCCAAATAGGCAAAATTAGCAGGACAACAATGGCTATTCCTTTCTGGTATAAAATGTGAGGTATAACATTATAATTCTCTAAACAAAAATGCTATCCTCAAAGACCGGCAATGATCTCAGGTGCTCTATCTAAGTGACAGTAGAAATGACAACCTGGAATGTGAGGCCCATATTTATACATGGTTGGAAAGATGACACTGGAAATACCGTGTCTGCTGTGATTCATGACACTCTGACCAAGCTAGTACTTGGGTCCAAAGACTGGGCAAAGGTGAGAAGTCACTTAGAGAAAATAAACTTCTGTACAATTATATTTACTATTCCTAGAATGTGCCTGTCACACAGTAGGCACTCAATAATATTTAACTAATGAATTAAAAATAGTTCCAAAGAGTTCTAAGGAAAAACAATGTATAATAATATAAGCAAACGCAGGTAAATAGTCAATATAGAAAAACAGGAAATCAGTGGAAAAAAATGTATTCTTACCATAATCACCTAAAACGATACTGTATTTTTATATTTGCATACATTCAATAAATATTTAATAAGTGCCCATCTGGGTGCAAGTTATCGTGCATGACTTATATAAACAAACAATGCATCCAGGAAAAACCATAGCAAAGCTGCTCATCAATCTCACCTGCTAACATTTTGTACTTTATGCCACGTCAATTTTGATTCCAATTTTCTGTGTGCAAGAGCTATCACACGGAAGCCTTGTTTAGTGAAATCTTCCAAAACTTTTTCAAAGTCAACAGGAACTTTTAAAAGAAAAAGTAAATTTCATTGTTACAACTGCTAATACAAGCTTATGCAAATACCAGGATCTTATCCAAAGCATAGTTATTTCCTTACCTGTTTCAGGTTTACAAAGACTGGCAACGACTTCAGGAGCTCCTTTCATGTAGGCATCCATTTTCTTATCCCCTAGCACCCTTGCAACCACACTCATACGTTGCAAAGCAGAAGAAAATGGGAACTGGCGAACAATTCCTATCTCATAAATAGCCTATATAATTTCAAAAGATGCATAAAGCCTTTGTCATTCTTTCAGAATAAAAATAAAAAATGTACTCATGAAACAAGTAAATATTCTTCACTTACTGGAAGTTCAAACAGCTCCTAAAAAAAAAAAAAAACAAGAATACAGAAATAATACAGATTAAATCTATTAACATATTCAAGTTAGAAAAAATGTGCTAAGCATCTGCTCAGCCTTATCTGGAAAAAAAGTCAGGCTTCAATGGTCTTTCTATTCTACCTCACATTTTTAAAAAGTATGTTCTTAAATTTTTTTTTTTTTTTTGAGACAGAGCCTCAAGCTGTCACCCTGGGTAGAGTGCCGAGGCATCACAGCTCACAGCAACCTCCAACTCCTGGGCTCAAGTGATTCTCCTGCCTCCGCCTCCCAAGTAGCTGGGACTACGGGTGCCCACCACAATGTGTGGCTATTTTTTGTTTGCAGCCGTCATTGTTGTTTGAGGGAGCTGGGCTGGATTCGAACCTGCCAGCTCAGGTGTATGTGGCTGGTGCCTCAGCCACTTGAGCCACAGGTGCCGAGCTGTTCTTAAATATTTTAAAATACTCTATCCTGAAAATAAATTTGCTATCCTGAAAATATAAGTACCAAAATAAACTAAGGAAAAATATATTTTTAAAATTCACCTAAAAATAAACCATTCTAAAAAAAATATAAACCATTCTTCTTATGAAATTCTGGGAATTTAGATGCTATTTAAAAGGATTTATCACAAGATACTAAGAAAAAAAACTTGGGATACTAGGAATTAAATCTCAACATTTTTATAAAGAATGCCTGCAATACACCAGGGGTGTAATTATTGATCAATGTAGTTAAAATATTCATATCTACATATGACTCAAATAAATCTCATGTGACTCCCTCTTCTAGTAACATTTCAAAATAAGATTTAAAGTAAGCAACAACAGTATTATCCAGCTTAAGTGATTTCATACCATTTCTTGGTCTCCTGCAGGTGTAGATTCAGGAAGCAGTTGTTTGGGAGGACGAACCACAGTGGGCATGATTCGATTATGAAGTGCTGTTTCTTCTTCAGTTGCTTCTTCCAGAATCTGAAAGGAAAATATTTAACACCTTGCTTTACAAAATTCAACTCACTTGTTTCACATTTAAATGCAACGTTATGGCCATTTTCAGTGAATTTAAAAAAAAAAAAATTCTGTCCACGGAAAAAAAAAAATTCTGTCCACGGAACAAACGAGCACTTCTAGATTACCACAAAATATAAACAAAGCTGGCTGGATGCCCAGCAACCCAGGGAAAAGAAGACACATTAGACCTTACAACCAGAAGAAAGAAATAGAGACAAACTTCTCTCACTTCATTCCGACAAGCTGTTGGATTTAGACACTAGCTCTGGGAAAAGAAAAAAAAAAAAAAAAGCAGAAGCTTACTGCAGTTCTAAAAACTCTTAGTCTAATCATCTATGGATGCCTTTCTGCTAACAGGAGAGAATTCAAGAGTATATGGAGATAAAGCACGGTTAGAAGAACCATGGGTTGAGAATAGGCTAAAGTGAAAAGATGTGAGTTTAGAATTTCAGCTTGAACACTTCTGGTTAAGCTACCATGAGGAATGCTACAAAAGTTTTGAGATACACAAGATTTAAGAAACGTAAAATGACTTTGATTACTATACTTTTTCAACATAATTGCCATGACATAATATGCACTTTTGCATTCTTGTAAACCATTTTAGGAAACACTCTTTGCACTTCTTTTCTTCAAGTGTAAGCTCACTTTCATAGGTGTGAAGAGCTTCTTCAGGTCTGGAGCATCTTCTGCCACACATTCGGTTTTTTACTATAGGGAACAGAAAATAATCACCTGAGGACGAGTGGATGAGTCTTAAGTTTAACCTCTGAACTCCGGCAACTGAATGGTGATGTTGGCTGTGAGGGCAGATGATTGTCATAGTGCAAGATGGGTCCCCCAGTCTTGCCTCTATTCTTGAAGCTTCCTAAACATTTTTGGTAGACATACTGTTCTGTACCACTAAGCAGAAAGAGCTCTTCCTTCCTTCACAGGAACACTGACATGACTGCTTTTGGAGAAGAATATTGCCATCATTTTCTTTCTGACACTTCAGGGCCTCTTCTCTTTTGTTGGTGGATTTTCATGGGGAAAAAAATCCACACTGTCAACTGACACTTTTTCTCTGGATCAGACTGGTAAATCAAGGTTTCATGACCAATAATATGTCAGAAACGCAACTTGACTTGCCTCTGTTCATCAGTGTGAACAGCATTTCTTCATATCGTCCAACATGGAATTTGCTTTTGCTCATCTGTCAAAGTGTGAGGCACCCACTGGAATGAAATTTTCTTGACTCAAAGATAATTGTGCAGAATTTTGGACACTGCCAGTACTCTAATCTGTGGTGCCACTTCAGTGTCCTTAAATGTCACTCCATTGTTTTTGCAAACCATTTTTTTCCACAGTGGAAATGTTTTCCTCAGTCACTTCAGTCATGGGATGCCTGTTCCTCTCATCTTTCAATAAAGTTTGGCTTCTTCTGAATTCTTGAAACTACAGAAAAATCACTGCACAGGAAAGAGAAAGGTCCCTGTTGCAAATGCTCAAGGCTTTGAGAATTGTTTAACCCACTTTTAAAATCACAGAAAATCATCTTGCAAAAGTGCTCTCTTCCCAGCTCTACAGCTGACGCCAACTTGAGTGCCACATGGACAGAAACAAATAAATGAGGCCTTCCCAGCAACACTGATCAGCCAAGCAAGTTGAAACTTGCACGGGTTAATCAGAAAGGATGCTACTGTTGACCATATTTCTTAGCAGTGAAATAATGGACCATAACACAATCTGTCTCAAAACTTTTTAGTGACCTTCATATACTATCCTAACCCTTTGAAATTTACTTCAAAAACATTTGGGGGGTGAGAAAAATTCAAACAAAAACCTATATTAAACACACACACACCAGAAACAATAAATTGACTATAGAACTAGAGAAATGAGAAAATGACAGGGAGAACTATGAACAATTAGCCAATTTTATACAATTCTAAAATGCATTCTTTTTTCACATTTTAACATCTCTAAAATTGAGATGCATCTATTATATGACATCAATCACACTGGGTAACAGTTATGACTAGTTATGTGAAACTATTCCACTGATAAATAAGATCTGATAAGATCAAGCATCAAAGCATCTCATGAACAATAAAATATGCCATTATACAAATTCATTTATTTAACCAATTTCTTAAAAGATCCACAAAGACAGGCCAGGCGCAGCTCACACCTGTAATATTAGCACTCTGGGAGGCTGAGGCAGGTGGATTGCTTGAGCTCACGAGTTTGAGACCAGCCTGAGCAAAAAGCAAGACCCTGTCTCTATTAAAAACAGAAAAACTGAAGCAAGAGGATTGCTTGAGCCCAAGAATTGGAGGTTGCTATGAGCTGTGACACCATGGCACTCTACTCAAAGTGACAGCTTGAGATTCTGTCTTAAAAAAAAATCAATCGGCTCAGCGCCTATGGCTCAAGTGGCTAAGGCGCCAGCCACATACACCCAAGGTGGCGGGTTCAAATCCCCAGCCCGG